ATCTCTTAATCCTTTTAGTTATTGGTTGTTCTTGGGCAAGCTAAGTTTAGTTGAAACTGCCTCAACAATTCCTAAGTTGTCACTGTAATGAGATTTCTTCTAATTATCTTGTCATTCTTTTACAATTTTACGACCTTTGGCTTATACCGTTCAAATACTATTTGGCACATCATTACATTCTCATAAACATGTCAAGGAGGGGAAGCTGGTCTTAAAGACAAATAAAAACGAGAGAAAAAGATTTGTGAAAGTTTGAGGAATATTTAGTATAAAATAAGTTGTCAACATTTTGTAAATGTGTTATCAATAAAACATAAATTGCCAACTCCATGACATACTTTTCATGGATCTCTCCCATTTGTTTGTGCTGGAGTTTCCATAGCATCTCATTTTCTTAGTTGTTGAGGAAGGGTTACATTTATATCAAAAGCTGTGCAAAATATATATTGCAATAAAACTATTAAGAGTGCATGGAAATTAATCAATTGTTTAGTTCAGAGCAAATTTTTATTAAAAGACACAATAATTTGAACTAATAACATTAGTTTTCAACTATAATTCATGTTCATCTTTGGATATATGTAACAACCTACAAGAGAAACTATTTTCTATCAGATAAGACAGAGATGTGAAGAAGAGAAGATAAGGGTTAATATGACCATATCAGTCAATATGGCTATAATACATTATAATGCAGATGTATATCAATTTTAAAACATGAGGCTTCCATACCAGAGTCATGTTGGTGATAACCTTTTCTTTCTCCCTGATAACTAGTTCACTGGACTCCAGGTTCACCAAATCTCGAATGGGAAGCATCATCATGACCGCCCTATACCACCACAGCCCACATAGACACAAATTCTTGCCAGCATCCCTTTCATCTGTACTGTGGAGGTGTGGTACAAAAGGAAAAGTAAGAATAACACATCAGAGAGTTGCTCCAAGGTGTACATGAACACAAACAGTAACTGAATACTCAAAGCAGACAAATGTAAATCATCATTTAAAGTCCATTTCAAAGGCGCTTGATTTTTATCCAGCACAAATCTAAAAAAACGATTAGGGGATAAGACCTCAAAATGTGATGTCATAGAGAACCCCATTTGTGTTTGATCAATTTCATTTTGATCAATTTCATATAAAAAAAGAGAAAATTATATATATATATATATATATATATATATATAAGAGAAAGTCTAGATTTCCCCTCAGAGTTGAAGCAAATACCCCCCCCCCCCAAACAAAACAAAACAAAAAACGCCAAAATAATGATATATTTTAATAATGATTTTATTTCACTTTGATTGGATGTGCATATTTGGATGCATAACAATAACATGTTCAAAGTTCAATCAAATCATTTCTTGACAAAGCACTAGGGGCAAAGATTTCTAACACAATTTCTTCGTCTACGGAACATCATTATTTCTGATATTTTTTGGATATATTCATATATATATATATATATATATATATATATGGCTGCATTTTACGGGGATGGGATGCAGATATTTTGATGCATAACAATGTATGTTTGCTTTGAGTTGTTCACAAATCATCTTTTCTCTATTTTTTCTGTTTCTATTAAAAGCAATTTGATGTCAAGATAGACTTTCCCTCTAAAATGGAAAAAGATAACAAAAAAATTCTCATTTGGTTTATTAATATAATGTACTTTGGGTGATAAATGTACATTCATAAAACTTAACTGCTGGAAAACCAATAATTGACAACATAAATAGAGAATAAATAGCACCTTTTACACCATTTCACTTTCAGGTCATCGACTCAATGCGTGGGCTTGGGTTAACACAGAGTGTGACAACTGCACGAAGGAATGCAGACAAGCTCACGCTGCATAGTGACATCATATCTGAATGGTGTAAGACAATTGAGGTAATTATGTAGTTAAAAATTTATCCCCAAAAATAATTCAAATCTTATATACCGGTAAATACTTCTAGAGGATATTCAAGATTGTACAAATGTGGTGACTTTGTTACATTGTGATACCTACCATTAAGTTTAAAGTACACACACATAATGGTTCTTGTAATACAAAGAAAGCCAGACAAACAAAAAAGAAGATATATGGGAAAGAATGCTTAGAAACACATTATCTCCATGCCTCTTCCTTGGTAGGGCTCTCAAAGATATTTTTGAATGAAAATATTTTCTTAACTTTTTACATTTTTTCTTTCTTTCTTTCTTCCTTTTTTTAATTCAGAGAGAGGGTCAACAAGAGGAGGCTGGGCCAAGCACACAACGTAAGTTCTTATGTTTGCAGAATTTTAATTTGTAGGAGAAAGGTTACCGGTATCTTCAACAGTAGTAAATAAGCCAGAAAATCTTTATATCAATAATGCATTGCCATAAGATGATTGTTACCAATGTGAACAAAATCCCACACATTTTTGCTGAGAATTGCGCTTGAAGCAATGTCATCCATTTAAATGGCAATCCAACCCTTGTAATAAAGTTATTTGTATAAAAAGAGGAAAATAAAGAGAAACAGAATGACACAAATTTTGTGTGAAAAGTACCCCTTTACCGGACATTTCGGGAACATGAATGCAGTCCCTCTGTTCCAGAAGTGTGGGGGGGGGGGGGTGGGGGGTATAGCGGGCTTAAGATAAACCTGTTCCTACTTATTTCCTAACAAACAAATGTGTGTCTATGCATAACCTAGTATGTATGTCACATATTCAAAGCACATGCACTGATTTTAATTCACGTGTTAATTTTCTTTCATCACAGATCCAGGGTTCGCCATGTGCATTGACAATGTACAATGGCCCAAAAAGGCCGGGCATGCAACGTTAGACCGGCAAAATGACATGCATCTTGTGTGCAACGGCTACGCCGTGAAGAACAGAGTGTCTTTTAGAGGAATGACAGATAACAGTACAACGAAGGCAAAAGACCTACCGATAAAATCATTCCTGCCAAGTCAAGATGACTATGATCAACTGAGGAGAAGGATGGAGGCTATCGTGTCGAGGATTTTAGTAGTCAACTTGCAAGAGTACGCTGATGAACAACCCAATGACCACATCCAACATCAGTACTCTGCTGAAAGTGCAAGAAAAAGTGAATATGTAAGTAGGATTTATATACATAACATAATAGTGTGGTCACCTTATAGCTGCTTAAGAGCAGATAAGTTGTATTGTGTAAGTGAAAACAAATGAGAAAGCTTTAAAAGTATTCAATAAATGACTTAAATAAATCTTATCCAAAAGATCCTATACACAATAAAACCCAATCGTATGAGGCTATACACACAACACCATGGGCTTTAGTGTAGATTAATACAATGGTAAATATATATTAAAGTTTGTTACAGATGAACCCCATTATGATTTGATAAACCACAATATCGATTGACGATGTGTAGTGGTCCACCTGCACACACCCCAGTATAGTACGATAACACTCTTTAAAGAGGTATGTACTCAAAATGGAAGAAGAAGAGAAGAAATATGAAACATTAATAAGCCTTTCATAACATAATTTGTGTCATATTCATGCCTGATTTACAGTGTTTTTGTATTCTTGTATGCAGACTAGTGTATATAATTGTAGTGTATAACTGCAGTGTACTAATCTAAACATCACATGCATTGTTTTTAGGCCAACACTGGGATAGTGGAGCAAAATCCATCCACTCCAGGAGGTACTATGAAAATCTTAACAGAACTATCAAAGTACATACCTGAGGGGTTTGAAGTCCCAATCCACGGGGACCAGAAAACCGTGGAACTGGTCTACACCGCAAAAGTTGCACGATGTACTGCAGAAATCCCTAAACATCGGCTCCAGGAGTTCCAACCGGTTCCGCAGGAATTCCATTTCAGGTCGTTAGTCATGAAGGTATGTGTTAATAGCCTATGAAAACAAAATTAATAAAAAAAGGGGTCTACTTCTGTATAACCCCTTCCTGCTCTTCCTTTCCCACACTATCCCCACCCCACTGGTCACTCATTTCATTTTCTGACCATTCTTACATCATATCTAGGACACCATCCAAGAGCTTTATGTTCCTACAAAAGCCAATGAGAGAGCTTCGCTGAAGCATCTGAAACACCTTTTCCGCCATCAGGCTGTCAACGATACAACAAGCAGCTTTAACCACACAGACGACTTCCTATTGGTCAGTAATACACATACACTGCCTATAGAGTGGGGAAGTGTGACGTCATCAAAAATCTATTTTTTAGAATTTCTCAATTTTTTCTTCATATTCCGAAAGAACATAAAAAATAATGTCCAAATGTCGAAAACCAATAGAATATGTTAAGTTTTGGCCGAGATATGACCATCTGAATGAATATATGTCCTATAGGAACTCAGTGTTATATTCTCTGGCTCCTAACCTTTAGGAGCCAGAGCATATAACACCGAGTTCCTATGGGGAGTATATTTATTCAGATGGTCATATCTCAGCCAAAACTTAACATATTCTATTGGTTTTCGACATTTGGACATTATTTTTTATGTTCTTTCGGAAAATGAAGAAAAAATTGAGAAATTCTAAAAATAGATATTCATGACGTCACAGCTTCGGTACTCTATGTAGGATTTTCAATGAATGAGTTATTTGTTCTATTTTTTTATCCACATGAATATATGTCTACAGATATCATGAGTTTTCTGTGAAGATTTCAATTGTTGGTTTTGAAAAAACAGCACAAAGACCGTGTTCCTTCCAAAACTTTAACAAAAATAATTAAACAATAGATTTTTAGTTCTTTTTCTATTCTATAAATGGATTCACACCATGACTGAATATTGGTAGAAATAACAGTCTTATAATTCATGATAGCCCATGTGTAAATCCTAATGGTATTAACCATTACACAAAGGAGAGACATTATTTATTACTTATGCAAATGAAGTCATGCTTTTGTCAACAAAGCAGAACGTATTGGAAATCATCAAAACTACTCTTACCGTACATATTTACTATATACAATATTTAAATACCATTACATTTTCCTTCTGGCAGTTCGTGTGCTGCTCATTCTCAACTGGCTACGCAAAAGAAGAGCTCAATAAACACGTAGGTGAACCTCGACCCTCACTAGATGAAATGGCGAAAGCTGTAGTGGCGAAAGTCTGGCATCAGCTGCCACTCAACACCGTTGCTGATATCATAAATGCAGATGTAAACGATGAGGAGTTCTGTATCTGCAAGAGAAGTAAGTATTGAAATCCATTTTGTTTAAAATTTTGGCAAATTTTAAAACTCATATTTCATATTACACTGTAGGCTACTATAGATGTGATCAAATTATTTTTTATATCAATACATTTTTTGTTGTATCAATGAAAATGGGGGGGGGGGGGTACGTGGGTTAGAGTGCCATTTTCTACACCAAAAATTATAAATAAATAACACAATGATGATGATGATGATGATGATGATGACGGCGATGCTGAATATCATTCTTCTGTTTTTCTTAATTGGGGGAGGGAGGGATTTGGCTAAAACTTCCACTAATCTGTTTCTCTATTATCTGCTGCTATTAAAACCAAATGAATTCTAGTGTGGACTTTCCGTTTGGTAACAAATTTCCATAATTGTTCTAATACTCCTATCATCTCCCATACAGAAACACAGGAAGATATGATTGAATGCACAAATGTGGAATGCGAGAGGGGCCGCTGGTTCCACAAGACATGCGTGAACACGACAGAGGTAGAAGGAGACTGGTTCTGTAGTTTGGAGTGCTCCAGCTCAGGCCAGTCTGCCTTCTGCCTTTGTAGAAAGAAAACCAGCGAGATCCTCACTTTGACATGCTCAAATGCAGATTGCCCCAATGGAAACAAATTCCACCCATCTTGTGTTAGATGGACGGGAAATCCCTCTGGTAAGGAGAAAATATATATGTTAGTAGAGTAAAATATTATTGAGTGGAGGTGTTGTGGTGTACTGGTTCATTCAATTGAATCTCAATCCATAATATTGGAGCACAAGGGGCGAAAAATGTAGACAAATTTAGATTTCAGTAATTTCACAGAAGTCATGTGTCACCCCCAATTTGTTTTTATTATAACTAAATTATAATATATGCACAGGTATGACATGACAAAAGCCTATCATTCGTATCTACCCAAGTATAAATTATAGAGCACTATAAATATATTGATGAAACTAATACAAGTTGTTTAAAATAAATAGGATATAAAAATAAACCAAGTTTAATTGTGTTGGGAACTAGATAATTGCAACAAACGTTACCTTTTTCTTTTATAGATATTACAGATGAATCAACTTGGTTCTGCCCCCATTGCAAGACGTCCACAGACTCCCTGGCAAGTTACCTGGCTAGCGTCACATGGAGATGTCTACTAAATGAGGCCCTCCGTGATGCAGAACGTGAGGGGGATGGGGAGGCCATGATGTCTCACTGGCGTATCTATATGCCAGAACTGTTCAAGAGGAGGCATCCTCACTACATAAAAGCAGCACACAGGATGCTTGCAGGTATTCACTTAATTATGTCCATAATGTAACTCAGGAAAAAGAACGCTCGACACAGATGTTTGCAGTTACTTTGATTTTTATTCCAATACCAATCGGGTTGTAAAACGGAAACAAAACCTGTATCAAAGATACCAAAAATAGAAACATGATAAATACATTTATCAAACAGATATACTCATTTACTCTGGAAAGTAAACATTGTCAAACAATAAAAATACTGAATCATGGCAAGTATGAAATCAAAGAGATTAGCAATATCAATAAATGACAAACTGAGCATTTCATTCATCTAGTAATACATTAATCAACACTTCACAAATAACAGGGTCTTATTAGAATTCTTGTCTTTCAACAGCAATTTCACTCTATAATGAAATTGTTATACTCTCATGTATGAATGCATAGTATGTTAGAACAAACAAGTTATTATCAGCCATAGATAAAGATATAGATAGCTTCAAGTACAGAAGTCAAGGAAATACTTTAAATCAAACGATAGACTCGCTAGGACACGAAACTGAACTTGTGTCATATCAAATAGATAGCATACTGTGAAAAGTAGACAAGCAGCCTAAAACCTTATCCACTAGACAGCTCAAAAGTAATCAGTATATGTGATTTAAAAGTATTGACAGAAGAATCACAACATAGGTCTAGGTATAATATAATACAATGAAATGCAAAGGCATAATGAGAGTAAGCCTGTTGTAAGAAACATGGAATACTGTCAGGCTTGACAAATCTTAGATAAGGGAAATATGTACAGTAGGCTACTTAGTTATAAAAATGAATCAAAATAATTTACATAATGACAATTGTTTTACACATTTCCTGTCACAACTCACCCCGGCTATGCAGCCTCACGACATTAGACGGACACATTCTGAGCAGCACACTAGCTGTCTAGAAGACTGCAGATGTCCACTCTAGAATAGCAACAAATAAGTAACATTTATTGGCAAACATAAACAAAATAGATTAATAGAACCAAACTAGCTTTAACCCAAACACACTAATTACTCCTGACTTAGGTGGTTGTCATACCAACCTCCAGATAAGGAAGACCCATCATTTTTACAAGATGTGTATATTCCCAAAACCTCAATACAAGTTTAATGTACACAATCCCTTCTACCTGCACTCACCTCACACTCTCACTCTCCATGCTCTCACTCGCTCTCTTTCTCTCTCACACACACACACACACCTGTGAACATCCGCCCACTCAGCAATTAGATCATACACGCATAGATCTACACTCTTTAACTTTCGCTTGTCTTTATACATTGTACAACACTGTATGTGTAGAGATTTACATCACATGGCCTTGCTTGACCAAAACTTTTGCTAAGTTTTTATACATGAATTATTACTTTCTTGAATGTCTCAGCTAGGCAAACTATGTCCCAATAATTACTAGGCCTAGATCTAGACTATAAACTTTCATATCTAGTCTATTCAGACATCATATAAAACTGAGATGTTCAAAGTAACTTTCTGAAACTGTTAAGATCATTATCCTGATCAGTCTAGGCCTAGAGGTCTAGGCCTATATGAAAATACACAGCAAATGATTTCTCGACATGAATCCGAAACGGAGACACAATATGACAATAATCGTGGCATTGGCAATCATTTAGGTATCATGAACATATAACATCAACATTAAAGTAATTTCTATACTTTCATACATCATATTGTAGAAATATATTTACAAAAAGAGTATTCATCAGAGAATCTTACCCTAAATAGTGATGATGGACACAGTGACTTCTCTGAAGTCTGATGAGCTTGACAAAATGCAGCAGGAGTGAGCATGCCGCGCCTACGGCGCGCCACTACATGCACTGTTGTTGTCGTTGCTGCATGGCTTCCACATACTAATAGTAGATAAGGGTGGACTTCCCCCACCCCACTAGGAGGGGTGATGGGAAAGTCACAATGAGGGACAATTTACTGGCAAATTAACTTGTAACCTTGCAGTGCCAAACTGCCCTGTTAGTGTTACAATAGCAATAAATTGGCCATGATTTCCTGAAACCATTATCCATATCATATAAACAATAGAAGCATTGAGAATGCCCTATGAGGATCTGATTACAATTATTTTATGTTATAAGAAGCCCCTTCATTATTTTTTGTTGGTAATAATAATAAATAAATATCTAGTACATGTATGATATCAAAGAAAGCTTCACCCCAAAGAACAAGTGTAGGTATTCTGAAAAATGAGATGTGCTCCTGCCCTTTGATGTACAATATTCCTCACGAAAATGTACACAAGAGTCAAGATATATAAATGAAGATATTCTTGGCATGATGTGATGCCTTTTATTTTCTTGAAAATGTGACTTACCGGTTGAAGTTGTACGTGAACCATTCACCAAGCTTTAGTTGGAAAGACCTTTAAAATCAATAAGAAACCATTATTTTTCAATGAAGATAGAAATTATATTTCGTTAAAAATATATAACTGGAGAACAGAGCAACTAATTAATTTCAAAATGCTAAAATATAGCAGTCGACAAATCTATTTCATTTATGAGAAACCTTCACCTTAGAAGAGCACCAACTTATTCATGCAATTTGCATTCTGGCAATTGTACTCCATTCCATTGATTAGGTTTTTTGTGGGCAACGAAGCTACAGCTTTAAGTACCAAAACTTATCGGATGGATGAAAAAGATACCATATCTCACATTGCCTGGGTGAGACTTAAAGGGGAAGTCCCCCTGATATTAAATTGGTTTTATTTCGAGAAACAATTGAGTAAAAGTTTGAGAAAAATCAAACAAAAAATAATTAAGTTCTGAATCTTTCAGAATCATGAAAATAATGGAATCTTCAACAAATTGGTAATGCGGTCAGAAATTGTGATGTCATCCCCTCACAATTTACCACTTACATGTATCTCATTGGCAGAATGACCAAAAATGTCCATTTCTCTGAATATTAATCAAATGGTAGAACTATGGGGATGCATGAAAGAACATGTTATCAGTGATATATGACTGAGAGAGGCATGAACAAATATATTTTTGGATCAAAATGAAATTAATGCCATTTCTTGCATTCAACTAAGGATGACATGAAGGCCTAAGGGGGTGACATCATACTTAGAAACGGTGTTGCCAATTTGACTCACTGATTTGAAATATTTCATGAAAATGTATGGACTTTAAAAATTCATAACAGTCTCAAAACCTTCACTGATCTGTTCTTGTCATTTTCTCTTTGTATTAGAACAACTTTGATCAGGGTGGACTTCCCCTTTAAGAAAATTTGTGTCAAAAGATATTGACATTTCTTAGGTGCATTTTAAATTTCACTCCACATTCACTGGTAAACCAAGAAAAAGAAAAAAGATAGAAAAATACAAATGAGTGTAGATTCCGTTTTTAATACAAAAGGACAATTATTGTAGCACAGCCAGCTAGCCGCCGCCCCCCCCCCCCTCCTCCTCAGAAAACATCAACAACAGAGATCTACACAAATGTAATATCCGTACAAAGATTATGCTCTTAGTGTACTCAATTATTCCAAAGTCATTTCAATCAAAGATTGATGTTTATTATCATCGCTGCATAGACCCTATAAGTGCATGTTGTCATGAATTGAAAAGAGTAAACATGTGATTGCCTCTTTATAATATATCATTTATAACACTATCTTTTTTGGTTTTTCAACATTTAGGTGTTGCTGGTTGCCTTGCTGAAAGGATCAGAAATGAAATCGTGCACAACAGGACAATAAACATCAATGGAGGGGCAGGGAGAAATGTTGCCCTTGATTTTTTCATTGAACAACTGAATCACCATTTCAAAGGTATAGAACTATGTTATTATTTGTAAACCTGGTATTATTAGGGTGTCTGATCCTGATACCATGGAAACAATGTTTAAATCGCTGCTTTGATCAAGATATTTTCTAGAATTAAATTAAAAAGCAGTCTTGATGACCCCCCCCCCCTCTCCCGAGTTTTAAATGGCCCCCACCCAACCCTAACACTCAAGGGGGTGCGATTTTTCAAAGTTTTGAGGGCCCAAAAAGTGCTCACTGCCTCCCCCCCCCCCCCCACTGTGCGAATTTCCGCCGCTAAATATTTTTTCACGAATTGGGCCCCCTCCCCTGCCGCCGGCTGGATCCGCCCCTGAGGCCTATACCTTTAAACAACAAAAATTAGTGGGGGGGCGGGGGACAGGTGGGACTAGTACAACTACTACCACCATACTAAGACGGAACTGTTTGCCTGGACAGTTGCCGTGTAAAGCCTAGTGCCAATGCTTTTCATAGTATATAATATGGTATACTATCACATGCCTCCCATATGCCACTCCCCCCCCCCCCCGAATTCGTTTCCATAAATCAACCAAATCAGTCTTGTAAAGTTCTTAACTTTGCTGCGATTTGAAGCTATTGAATACTCCCAAATTACTCGATTTTACTTGAACTTTTAGTTTCCTTTTTATTTCTAAATTTATGTATAATTTTGATAGGTCATGGTTGCCGTTTTTTCTCATTTGAGTTAAGGATAAAAATTGAACCATGTTTCCCTCTCCCTTGTCTTTCTTATAGAGTTCCTGCGACATTGTGGCGGAAGGTATACGCCTCAAACCATCCAGAGAGCAGGTAAGCTGTGTGGCGCCCTCGGGAAAGAATTAGACGACAAGTTTATTCAAGAGGTATGTGACTCGGCAGGATTTGGTGGACAGACGAAGCCGAACAACCGCTTCGAGAGGTACAAGAAAGATGTCTCCGAGTTTCTTATAGAGTTTAAGAAAGATAATTTGTTTTGTACCGAAGAAGGTCGCTGTGTTCCATCCTTACTCAATTATGCTTACAGTTGTAACTCTATGTCATACCAGGAAGCTACGGACATGAAGAGTAAAATATTAAAGTTCAACGAAGAGTTCGACAACGAACTTTCCCTTGGTTCATTACCTTAATTTTTGCTCAGTTACAAAATCATTGTGTCAGAGAATCCTATTTAATTTCTTAGATTAAATTTATGTGAACATCAATCAGGATGCTTAGTTACAGTAAATGAACTTTATCTTCAAGTTGAGGTAACTCAGTGTCAAGGGTTGACTTTCAATATTAGTTTGTACGTATCAAGTAATATGACTATATTTTATTGTATGCTATACAAAGGCATTATTATTATTAGGTACATTTATGTATGTTCATCATATAATCTTGATTATGTTCATATAATCTCATTGCACAAACAATGATATATTTTTCACTTATTTACAATGAATATAAGGCAGTTGAAAATAAAAGCAACTCACGCTCAAGGAATTACAACCAAAGCTTGACTTCCGATGATTCGCATCCCTTCTCATTGAGTGATGCAAAATGGATACAGTTTATTCGGGATGTTATCTTTTTATGAAAGATCATATTGTTAATTTCTTTGATGCTTATCATCATATTAATGTGTTGTTCCTTGCAATTGGGTTAAGTAATCTTTACATTTCGCTTTTCGAGATAAACATCTTATGCTCCTTACGAGTGCGAAATGGCACAATGGACACGTGAGCATGCAGAGATAACTTAGATAATTATCATGATCGAGACATTAAGTTAGAAAGCTGTTTAAAACAACTAACGGTTATCCTATGGATTGAAACAAGATTCTGTAAAAGCTTAGAGCCTTAGATACATTGCATCATTTTAAACAATGAAGCACGAGACATTATGGTTTAAGACTATAACATTAGTTAACACCAAAGAAGCACATGCATCATAATGGCCTGACCAAGGTATATTCCATCAGCCAAAAGTTAATACAAGGCGATTTTGACCCAAAAAAAATTACACACACTGGTGCTCAGTCACCCTTGGCAGAAAAAAAATTATCAATAGCGCATCATTGGGCACAAAACAGATTACTCTTTTTCATGAAATAGATTTAAAAGTTGGTTATGACTCTTTAATGGGTACCCGGTAGGAATTTATTCCTTGAAATGCTAGAGCGCTATAATGGCAGCACAGCTAAAGCCGGGGTAATAATAATATCCAATATGTCATGCGCAGTTGAGTATATACATATAGAAACTGCGCATTGTAAATTTACAATTATTATTATTTTATTATTATTAATTAAGAGCTACCAAAGTTGTGTACACTATTTGTGTACGCACTGTATAAATTTATATCAGTCGTGGTAACTACAGTATATAGACTTATCAATGATTTTGGATCAATGTTTGAGTTTAGATTGAACAATATGTGAAGATTCACCAAGATGGTCGAATTGAAATAGAATTTGATATTAATCGTGGTTTATGTATATACTATGATGAGTTTGAATTGCATAACGTGTAGACTATGTATATATACTTATTAATCCTGATCAGAACTCACATAATAGGAAAAGTGGTTCAGATGAATCGTGGTGTATATAGATTCAACAGCAGGGATCAGAAAATGTTATGATTTCTAAATGAAGATTAGATTAATCTGTGATTTATAGAGAGCTTAACCAAGATGCACGATTGAGTTCAAAGGAGACACACACAGGCAGGTCATAGCCTATACGTCCCGGTATATATATATTTTATAGATGATTGTTTGTAATGTACTAGTTATCAGACTACAAGACAAGATGATTATCTTGATATAGTACCTCTGTAGTTTTCTGCAGAGAGCGAAGGGGTTTATTAAACATGTATTTTTTTTTTAAATTCAATACTTTCATTACCATATATACCAAAGGTGTTTAATATGATTTGAAGATAAGACACCGACACAAGCGGGAAACAGGTATCCAGTATAATTGAAATGACCTGTTGTTTCTGAAGAGGTGTCGAAAGATCAATGGCTTCTATACAGGCGCGCCGGAAGCAGTTTGGGATTGGGGGGGGGGGGGGGGGCAAACATCCCAGGGGGCTTACATTCCAGGGGCAGTGACGTAATGAGAAAAAAGTTCGGAAGGTGGGGGGGGGGGCAAACGAAAAATCTGCATCACCACCAGTCTTACACGTTACATGCAGGTCCCGCGGAACGTTTTTCAAAGTGGAGTATTATCGATCAGGTAGTGCGTAAATTGGCGTGGAGTCCAGGGCATGAGCCTCGGCAGGGGGACAAGGAGGGGGGAGGGGCTCGAGCCCAGCCACTTTGCAGACCATGACATAAAGGCTTCTAAATAAGCGTTTTTCGCCTGACTGTAATTTGGGGATTTCTTATTTTCCAACAAATGCATAAAAAGGTATGACTTACACAAAAAAATGGGGGAAACAATGCCGGAAAATCATGTCACAACATCAACATTTGTAAAGCACTTGTTTCGAATAAGAAATACATCACCCCCCCCCTCCCCCATCAGTACGCCAGCATTCAGGGGCTCATGTCTTCTCACCCCTATAACAAAAAAACGAACACGCTTTCCCATTCTCGCACAATTATGTCCACGATGTGCGCGTATCGCTATTGTAGAGACCTCCATTGATAAATACCGTATAGGTGGCATGCGCAATTTTATTTTATTTAATTACTGTCAACTTTCCTTTTTCTTTGAATGGAATTGTATATGTGATTTAATTCAGGTTTTTATTATTGCTACGTTCTTTTGGATTAAAAATACAAACCATGTTTACTCCTTTACTGTTTTTTTTTTTTGGAGGGGGGGGGGCCGCGTTTTGAGGGGGCAAAATGCGTTTTGCCCCCCCCCCCCCCACTTCCGGCGCCTATGCTTCTATATAGAATCAAGTTTCTTTCCTCGGAATATTTATCATGGAGAAATTATGGAGATAGTCCATAAAATAAAGTAATGGGAAATGAAAAGTCGCTATCGTACTTATTTTATTCATAATATACTATTAAATGATTTACGTGTTCTTTTATTACCGGGTGGGCAAAAAAATAATAATCTAGAAATCAGAGATAAATTCTTTCCGAAACGTCATAACCGTAATGAAAAATGATGACAAAATGTATGGTGAAAATAATAGTCTTTATGTTACAGTTTAGAATAATGCTAGCCATACACGTCACGATTGTTCATTTCAAGAAGACTTATTGTTGAAGTTAATAAAAGCATTATGCATGTTCATGAGAGCTTTTACAGTCCGATGTACATGATTGTAAAGCAAATTATTGAACACTATACTCTCCTTATCTCAGAAATAATGACGCTTGACAAAGGGATTTGCCCAGGGGTCTCGGTCAAATATAAATTGATGGCTGCATTCGCATGCGTAACCAAAAAAAAAGGCCTATAAGCTTCTTCTTTTTTATAGATTGGACGCGGTATTTTTTTGGATCCCGACTCCGAATTGAAATCTAGTCTGGAATCTGGTTGTCTATAAGTTTCGGTTACGTCAGCTTGCTAATGTAAAAACACATATTAAAGAAGACCATTTTGTTTGTATACTAGATAAAAGGCAAAAAATACGTGTTCAAAATGTGGATGCTTTCATGTACATGTTGTAATTTGTTGCAATAAGTAAGGTTTTAATGGTATTGACTGGTGTGCTTTGTCTGTGGAAAAAAAGAGAAAGCAATTTCTTTTTTTTTTTTTAAACACAAGTCACCAACTGATGGGTGTCATTGACATAGGGTATTTTTGTACATGTGTTCCTCAGGTATTTACATTTATATTTTTGTTTCTATAGTAGAATAGAAACTGTTCATTGTATTTGTGTACTTTTTGTAAACACTATGTACAAAATAGATCAAATTTGAAATGTAATTGTTTTTTTCCTTCAAAAAAGTGTGACGGTCTATTAAACACATTTGGAAGTCTACACGTTGATGTTTTGGCTTCTCTATAGAAATAAATGTTTACATTGTGAATTTTCCATCACAACTGAGCGCAATTTGATTTATTTTACATTGTCAACAACTTAAATGGTGATCCCTATCGCACTTCAAAATGCTCAAGGGTTTCTCTCTCTCTCTCTCTCTCTCTCTCTCTCTCTCTCTCTCGCTCTCACCCTCTCTCTACCTCTTGATATTGCTTTATCGATTGCTCTCCTCTCAGCCTTGGTCAGTAACCTGGTGAACACACATTCTATTTTTTAAATATCATGTGGTTGTTTATACCAGCCATTATGATACCAGAACTGATATATCAGTTGGCATATAATATAATCATCACCAACTAAAGACAGTAAACAAAGGAGTCGGAAAAATCATGATCAATCCATTCGGATTCGCAAATGAACACTGACGCTAACCAAATATAACTGCCCCACCACCTGACAAATAATTATGTCCCATCATTTAAAATAGACAAAAGCCATTTAACCCTCCAATATGAATATCAATACAATACAAGAAGGTGGTTTGCAAACACCAGCCCCCTTCGAAAAAGAAAACTAGTCCTGATCAAGGTCAAGTTGTTGCTTCGACCGAAGTGATTCAAGAACCGTTATTGTAAACTGTTGCTTGTAGAGTTCAACAAAAAAAATCTTACCTCTTTTCATAATATGATTGTTTCTAATTTTAATTTTTTTTTAGAAAGATAAAACTTATACAAGTACATGTTACTTCTCTGAAATTTATTGGTCGATAGATAGATTGTTCAGTAAATTCGAGAAGATAATACAATCTTACCCTTCACGATGCGACTTCAAAATATATGGGATTTTCTTTAAAGTAGCGAAATAATTTATTATATTGTTTAAACTGAGAGGAAGCTTATTTGGATATTTGTTGGTGTTTTGAAAGTTACTTCATTTTTCATTCAATGCACACAAAATATAACAGAACGATAACATAATACATCGCGGCGGCAAAACCGAATTGCCATTATCTTACAATGAAAACGGTATTCAGCATTTACAACAATAACAAATACACCACAACAATTAAAAAATCATATTTCAGTAATTTTCCTCATTACCCATATTGTTTCGTATAACAAAAATGACATGTGATTCGATATTGTACATGATAATGCGAATATGAGATAACTTATTTACTCCCTGACCAACTTTTTAAAAATGTGACATGAGCTCATTCTTGTATTACGATACACACACAAATCATACATTTACATAGGCCTACTAGTATGTATATAAATAACTTAGAAAGCATGACTAGTTAATGTTAATGATAATAATGATAATATCTATAAGTTACGCTCTCACACAAGACACAGCGCTTCACATGCATGATGCTATAAAGGTTTGAAAAATACTGCTTCAAGTGCTTCTTCAAGTGTCTAGACAAGTGCGAGTGCTGTACGGATGTTCCGGGGCAGTTGATTCCAGAGGGTATGTGAAAAAGAGAGCTGTCAGTTGCTGAGTACGTGCATGATAGATCTGTCAGGAATTACAATTTTTAATAATTTTCATCATTGCTCAGTTTAGTTTACTTTACTTTCTTAATTCAATGACAAATAAAAGTCAAACAAAATAATAAACACTGTACGAATTTGGAAGAAATAAATAACAAATCTACTAATTTATGAGAAAGTTACGATTATGAGAGAGAAAAAAATGAGAAGAAAGGGACGATTATGCAACAGAATATACAGTGCACTCAAATTAGGAATTCACTGGATAGATAGGCTGTGATAGTAATCAAACCTCGATGTTTTATGTCGAAGCACCAACCCTGCGTGCTGTTAAAGAGTTAAGTCGCAGTGTCATACATCAATGATTCAATATAATAAATAAATATAATGAGACCTTTTATAAAGCTTTGTAAATATTAATTATATTACTAACTGAAACAGCCTTTTCTGAATAAAGTATTGATTGTGAAATATGATTACTAATTTTGATTCTTCAGTATTTATTTCAGATGTTAATATTGGCAATTCATCAATTTAGCCTGTCATAATAGGATGGAGATTGATATGACCCTATTAAATATCCACACTAGTATAATTTCATTTGTTCTTTATTAAAAAAGGGCTGTGGAGGGTGGACACACAAAACACCTGAAAAAAGAATAATAGAAAGAAAAAGAAAAACAAGTTAGATCAACTGAAATGCATCTAGCGTTATTAATCGGCTTAATAGGCAGCGCTCCAGAATGGCAGCAGGGGACAGGGGGTAGGGCACCGTGCCCCCATCTTTTTCAAGTGTCTCAAGAGTGCCTCTTTTTACATAGGGAAAGTGACCCTTTTTACATAGGAATAGTGCCCCTTTTCCTTGTAATAAGTAAACTTTCCCTTCCAGTGATAACTGAGTGCCCCCTTTCCTTTCTCTACAATATGCGCCCCTAATTCAAAGTAAGTTAGAGACAGAGCAACTGTTTCTTTAATTTATTTGATTGTTCGCACTGTAATGGTAGCTAGGGTAAAGATGGGGTAATAATAAATGCGCCTCGGAATAGAATTTCAAGATAGACTATAGAAATGCCGATTATTATTATTATTAAGACCCCACAATTCTTAAATTGAATATTATACTTTGGAATTATATAGTAATGCTCCGCCACCCCTGTCGGCTCAGTTGGGCTAAAATGATATTTATGACTTCTTTCCCTATCCTGAAAGAATTATGATTTTAAAAAGTCATTAATTTCTTTACAAATTCTATTTTAATGTACTTATTACGAATTGCTCAAAGTGCTTTCGGGGACAGATCTGTCGTAAACGGCGCTATTTGACAAAAAGCAACGCTGCAGAGTCATGTATACGTATTTAATACCAAACTCTAAAAACGCTCGTACGCAATAGCCTACCGCTGAGCTAGTGTACACAACCGATCGCGTCCATATCAACATACATATATTCGGACGTAGCGGCCTTAAAAATAAGGGTCATAAAATCCGAAAATGGCGCACGTTAGCTGAATTGCGGATGGGCTATAAGCAAACAAGTAGGCCAGATGTCTGGAAACCAAGGAAATTTACACAAACGAAACTTGTAAGTTCCATTGTTTAT